ATTCATTTGTATTTTCTGTTCTTCGAAATTAAAGGCAATTCTATTATTTGCCATTCAAGCCAGCAATCCTAGTTATTTCTAAATACTCACAGACACACACACATACACACATTCAGTAAACAGCATATGCTCTCTCTATATATACCTCTTTTTTACATTCAACAACAAAGAATTAATACTTGCTTTGGTTTCTTTAAAAAGTCAAGAACTTATATAGCATTATATTTGTGTGGATGGGTGCCATTTTTTGGATGGATTTTGTTGATTTTAAAGAAACCAAAAACAAATATTAAATCTTTTCTTACTACATGTAAAAAACAAAGAGGTATATGGAGAGCCCAGATTCTTATGCCTTACTCCCAGAGTTTCTGATTCAGTTGGCCTAGGGTGGGCATCAGAACTTGCATTTCTAGCACACTCTCTGATGTTGCTGATTCTGTCACATTGTGGGCCTTACTCCGAACAACACTGGGCTAGACAACACAGGAGAGTTGGCTGTGAAAACACAGGAAGGGAAGTGGAAGGTTGGAATAGGGAAAGATTATAGTATGTCCTCTTCACGGGTTGAATCATAGCCCTCAAAAGATATGTCTACCAGGAACCTCAAAATGTGACCTTATTTGAAATAAAGATCTTTGTAGATATAATTGAGGTGAGAGTTTCAAAATGAGATCACCTGGGGTAGGTGGGCCCTAAATCCACTGACGAATGTTTTTATAAAAGACAGACTTCTATTCTATAGAGCTGTAAGATAATAAATTTGTTATGCTTTACCAAGTTTGTGGTCATTTGTCATGGCAGCCTTGGGAAACTAATACACTGCCAAAGTTCTGCCTTACCAAAGTGCCAAGTTCCCTGTCATCTGTTCCAAGGGAAAAAAGGCAGAATCCTGACAGTGACCCAGCAGACTACATTGTTTAACAAAGAAGATCCCGACATGCAGAATGGTCATTTAACCAGGAAGTGTTTGTTAAGTGTTTGTATCAGGCTTTGCTAGATATTAGAGTGACTTACCAAAAGTGAAACAGCTAGTAAGTGTCAGCATTCAAGTCACGATCCCATCCTTCCAGATTTGGCACCCTTCTCCCCCACATCACACTTCATCAAGGCTTGGAGCAGGAAAGCACAGGACATTTTGTCAAATACTGACTAGTTCATTTTGGTTGCTATGGAATATTTAACAAAATAGACAAGGAACTTATTATTTCCAGTACAAATCTTTCTTATTTATGGTAACTGTTTAACAGTATTTCTTTCCATTCATTCCTATAAGGTAGTTTGCACTTTGTTACTCAATCTTATTTTTTGTTGTAGTAACCCTTTCACTTCATACTCAAACATGCAGATAATTTAAGCTAATCTTTAAAAATAAAATGGAAATAATAGCTTTATATCATCTTCAGAGATGTAGGTCAGTGATTTAGATAACAATATTTATTTTCTATATGCTCTTTAAGTATGTATCATATGTTACAATGATGCTAAAGACTCGGTGTTCTTCATATATAATACAAAAATGTATATAATATATAAATATATGATCTATAATATCATATAATGTTGTGTGTGTGGTCTGTCCAGAAGATATCCAGCCACATAATATGAAAAATAAATACATTTATTGAAGAAGATACAAGAAACATTACACGTAGGACAATGATGCCTCAGTCCCATTCAAAGTAGGCACCTTGGGACCTCACACAGTTCCCACACAGCTGACATCAGCTGCCCCATTGTATTTTCCTGAATCTTGCTGATGACCTTTCAAGGGTGATGTTAGTTCTGGGAGAAGCCAGAAGTCACAGCATGCCAAATCTGGGCTGCAGGGAGACTGAGTCACTGGGGGGATTTGATGTTTCACAAAAAAAACTGCACAAGATGTGATGTATGAGCAGATGCATTGTTATGGTGAAGCTGCCAATCACCAGGTGCCTCAGCTATAGCCTTCTGAATCACTGAATAATTTCTGCAGAGGAATGTTCAAGCTTAAATAAGACAAAATCTGATGCAGATTCATTGCTCTACTCGTTCAGTCATTTTGAATGCAGTGACCACATAATGCAAATGCTCACTTAAGGGCATCTACCACTCCCACTGACTAGTATAGTGAAGTTGTCATTATTTACTCATGTGCATTCCAGTCCACTCTCCTTGGATGCCAGGTTACATGGACATTTTTATTATTTAACAATGGTTGGATTTTTCCTGGACAGACTTCTCATATATATTTGTGTGTGTGTGTGTGTGTGTGTGTGTGTACGTGTATCTCCAGTCCTGGAAAAAGCATTTTGACATTTCCATGAGGTTGAAGATTGCAAAAGGAACACTTACTTAGTCTTTAGCCTCATCACAATATGAATCCTTTCAGTGTTTCATATAAACTTCCCCTGAATGATTATTAAGGTATTTAAGCTATTTAATAATGCTTTGAGAATTATTAAGTTCAGCCTTCATCTCACTATAATAAATGCTTTTGAATGTACAATGTAAATTTTTCACTCTGTTAGCTATTAAACACACGGTAAATTAAAACACATTTTTTGTGCCTTTGAAGTTTAGATGCTTGATTCAGGATCAGTAAACTCTATCAGTGAAACTGAAAGAATTAGGCAAAACAGGCTAAGAAAATTTTCACTTTAGCAAGTTCAAATAAAAAGATAAAAAATAAATAAAAGATTTATTTTTTAATAAACTGGCTAACATATTGAGGTGAAAGTGCATTGAGCTGTTTTAGAAGTAGAGGGTAAATTGTGTGAATTTGTTAAATGCCGAAGTCACCAACAGTGGCAGTGCAGAATGCACCATGACATTGACCTCAGTTTTCTCTAATGCTGACGTTTCTCTTTATCCTGTCTTACTCCCAACATTTTATTCATTAATTTATTCCACAGACACTTCATGTGCACCTACAGCATGCAAGGGATGGCATGGAGACAAAGTGTATTATCGGGTGGGAAAATAAGTCTTGTAACCAGATACTAACATGTGAGACAGTAGCCCTGATCTAAATGGCATAGATCGTAACTCATCACAGGAAGGTTCATGGGAGAATGTGAATTCTTTGGTACCTATGAATTGATTGCAAATTTATTCAGCTATCTTTTGGAGTTTGATTTGTTATTTTATTTCATTTTAGTCAGTGCATATGGTCTGTAAGATACAGATTATTTTAATATTTTGGGGACTTCCTTTGTGACCCAATAGATGGTCAAATTTGTAAATGTTCTAGGCTTAAAAACAATATGTATTCTTTAATTACTCAGTGCCAGGTTTAATATGTGTTCATTAAACTTATTATTTTTTGTTGAACTTTCCTATTTGTTCACTAAATTGTGTTTGCTTCATAATTTTTTAATGAGAAGTAAATTAAAATATACCATTTTAACTATAGATTTATCAGTTTCTACTTTTAATTGCTTCACTTTATATTTTTTGCTCATTTTATAAGGCTAAGATTTTAGGTATATACAGGTTCAGGACTATTATACTTTCTGGGTAGATTTTTTGTTTTTAGTGTTGAGTAATAACCCTTTTATCTTTGACTATGGTTTTTGCCTTATCTGCTTTTTTCTAACAGTATTATTGCTACATTGGGTTCCTTTTGTTAATAGTTATTGATATAGTGTATTCTATATCCTTTCTTTGAATTTTTCCTTATCACTAAGTTTTTAAAAATTATACCTTTGTTGAGATCTAATTTATTCACCCTTTTCAAGGGCACAAATCATTGGATTTTAGTGTATGTACAGTTGTGCATCCACCACCACTCTCTAGTTGTAGAACATGTTCTCCTCACCCCGGAAGGAAACCACACACCTGTTAACAGTCACTGCCCATTTCTCACCTCCCCAGAGTCCCTGGCCACCACTAGTCTACTTCCGTCTCTAAGGATATGCCTTTTCTGGATGTGTCAGGTGAATGGAGTTATACATGTGGCCTTTTGTTTTGGGCATTTCTGACCTTTCACTGAGCATAATAGTTTCAAGATTCATCCATGTTGTAGGATGTGTCTTTACTTAATTATTTTTTTCCTCACCCAAGGACATGCTTATTGGTTTTAGAGAAGGGGGAAGGGAGAGAGAAAGAGAGAGGGAAGAAATATTGATGTGAGAGAGAAACTTGGATCAGTTGCCTCATATGTGCCCCAACTGGGGACCAAACCCACAACCTAGGTATGTGCCCTGATGGGGAATCAAACCCGTCACTTTGATTTATGGCATGATACTCCAACCAACTGAGCCACATCAGCCAGGGCCTTACTTCATTATTTTTAGAGGTTGAATAATATTCCATTTAGGGCTATAGCACATATTATCTACTGATGGACATTTGGGTTGTTTCAACTTTTTGACTATTATAAATAATGCTGTTATGAATATTTACATACAGTTTCTGCATGGACATAAGTTTTTCTCTTGGGTATAAACCCAGGTATGGAATGCAGGATCATAAGGTAACTCAACGTTTAACATTTTGAGGAACTGTCAAACTGTATTCCAAAGTGGCCCCAGCATTTCACGTTCTCAACGGTGCATGAAGGTTCTTATTTCTCCACATTCTTCACTGGGTCTTTGTAGCCATTAAAACCTCAGTCCCAAGTCCTTTTGACTCTGTCCTGGGACACATTCCTTGTGGCCCTTCACCATGTCGGTTCCCATCTGTATAGGTTTGCATACCTCGTGTTTCTAGCATGTGAATATTTCTTTTTCTTACCTTAATGGTTATATAAGTTTTAAAACTTTAAACTTGCTTTACTTGGTATTTTTATGTATATGTGCATGTAGGGGATAGGAATTTGTTTGAATCAGTCAACCATTCCTGGAAGTTGAGCAGATCAATGCAGTTTTAGTGACTACAAAGTTGCTGACTTAGAGTTACAGTTGTTGTTTACAGTCTAGAGTCTGAGCTGAATTACTGGGTCCATATAGGATCCACCATTAAACTGAGCTCATCCAGTCCAATATGAGCCATCTCATCTTTCTGTTGTTTTTTTTTTACAGATGCCAACTTCCAGAAACAGTTCTGAAAAAATAAAGCCCAAATTCAGGAAAAAGAAGAGGTATGTTTCTAATTAAAAAGTATTATGATAAAATTGAAATATATATATTGAATTTATTTATTATATGACATTTCCCCCTGACTTTTGATTGTTTCTCTAGGGAAACATTGTTTAAAATTTTTATAGAAGAATTAATAAAATGATAAGTAGAAGTCTTAGAAGTATGAAGAAAGCTTGATGTTTATATAACTGTGTTTAACCAGAGCTTTCAAAGATTAATATCATGTGTGCAACCAGATGATAAGCAGGTTTTTAGTTTAAAATAGATAATACAAAGCAGAAACAAGCCTTTATAATGAACTAATAAGCCACTGATGACAAGTTTAGTGTTTATCATCGAACCAGCCAGTTTAGTTATTTACTTATTTTTAATAAATGGTAACTGGTACTGTGTTAAAGAGAGTCCTACTCAAAGAGAAAGACTAACTCTAATATGATAGTCCTTTTTCAGAAGATGAGTAATTAAATTTTTTAAAAGGACCTTAATTGCCTTACCTCAGTTCTACTTCCCAGTAACCCCATCAAAATAGATAGCGGTATATCATAATTATCTCCGTTTAAAAGATGAAGGACTTGTGGCTTAGAGAAACTAAGGGGCTTTCTCGAGCTCTTATGGTTAGAGAACATGCATTTGGACAAATGTTTTCTGACTCTAAATCAGCAACATAGTGTAGTGGAAAAGCAAACGTTTTGTAGCTGGACAGGATTTAGTTGCGTCGTGCTCAGCCATTGACCTGTGTTGTCAGTCTTCTCAATTTCTCAGAGCCTCGGTTTCTTTATCAAATGGGAGTACAATTACTTAGTAGGTTTCTGGGGGAAGGTTTACATGGAAATCTTATGTAAGGTGCTTGATAGATCATTAGTGCTTTTCACCTAGTGAGAGCTCAGATCAATACTATTCCCCTTTGGTTTTTTACTGTATCATGCTGCCTTACAGTATAAAACAACAAAGAAAAAAGTACTTTAAGATAAGTATGTATTCATTATTTATAATTAGAAATGCATATACATGAGTGGTCATTTAAATATACATGATTGATCATTTGAAACAATATTTGTCACATTCTTTTCCTAGGAAAGCTGTTTTAAAGTGCTCTTTTGAAAATGTTTGTTCAGATGATGCCTTATCAAAGGAAAACATGGGTATGTTCTTTTAGCTCCTTTACCTATATTTAATTCTGCCAAACGTAGTCATAGTCCTTGGAAGAAAAAAAAACTGTTGCGTATATGTACGTATATGAGAAACATTAATGGGTCATTTGTTTAATGTGTTTTTTTTTAATATTTTATTTATTTATCTTTAGAGGGGAAGGGAAGGAGAGAGGGAGAGAAACATCAATGTATGGTTGCCTTTCGTGCATCCCCTGCTGGGAACTGGCCTGCAGGGAACTGGTCTGCAACCCAGGCATGTGCCCTGACTGGGAATCGAACCTCGATTGTATGGTTCGCAGGCCCGCGCTCAATCCACTGAGCTATACCAGTCAGGGCCAATGGGTTATTTTTGGTATTGATTTAGATACTAGAGCTTTTCAGTTGTCATTTTATTTCTGTTCTCTTGAATTAAATTTCCTCTGGTTTTAGCATGGTATTTAAATTTTCTTTTCAATAAAGCACCAGTAGTTGTGGAAAGAACTACCAGCATCGATGCATTTCATTCCAGACCTGTCCATTCCAAGTGTGTTGGGGTCCTAGGGGTGCTCAAGGGAGAGAAGGAAGAAGAGCAGCAGCCTGGGGCTTCTCGCCATCAGTGTTAGAACACAGGGGTGTGCATGTGGAATGCAGGGAGAAAATTTTAGTTTTGAAAGGGCTTTACTCTTTGTACATTTTTGTGAATCTTAAAAAGCAGGCAAATGCTTATTTGCAAGGTGGACCTTTGGCAGCCATGCAAAGAGGTTTCAAAACATATTAAACTCCAAGAAGGTATCTATCTGTACCACACCCCCCTCTTTCATAGCCACCCCCAGATCCTATGGCACTGTTTCAGTTGGCTAAATAGCCATTTGTATATAGTCTCATTAAAAGTAAGAAAAACACACAGAGGAAAGTTGGGGGAGTTTCTTTCTTTTTTCTTTTTTTTAATCCTTTGTTCTTCTCAACTACTACAAAATTCTGTTGTTTCAATCTCTTCTTAAAACTTGTTCGGCTACTTCTTTCCTGCTACTAAGATGCCCTCTCTTTGCTAGTTTGTCTCTTTGCCTCACAAGATCAGTTCAAATATTCGTGTAGAAAGGTAGAAGTCAGCTCATCCCAGGCGGATTTTCCACCAGGAGGTCCTGGCACTGCGGCTGAGGGCTGCGTCACTGGGTCCTTCTCCCCTGCAGCTCGTGAGGGATGCTGCGGAAGAAATCCAGTGCAGCCAGGAAGCCCTGGTCAGGAAGTGGCTTTCCATGTGAATACACCTTGGGAGTTGTCTATGTAAAAGGAAGCCTTTTTGGGGTCTCACATTGTGTATAGTTCTAGAAGTCTCAGTAGTTAATTGTTAAAATAGTTAACCCAATCTGTTTTACTCCTCTATCCCACTTTTTAAAAAGATATGTATTTTATTTATTTATCTTTAGAGGGGGAGGGAAGTAGAGAGGGAGAGAAATATCAATGTGTGGTTGCCTTTAGAGGGTCCCCTGCTGGGAACTGGCCTGCAATCCAGGCATGTGCCCTGACTGGGAATCGAACCACAATCCTTTGGTTCACAGGCCCGTGCTCAATCCCCTGAGCTACACCAGCTAGGGCTCCTCTGTCTCACTTTTAACACCTAAAGCACAGAAACATCTAGTTTACTGTGTTCTTTGCAAGAGCTGACTACGTATTGGGAGTGTAGTTCTTTAACAGTAGTTTAACCCTCTTCGTATGTTACCTACTATGCATATTTCTGTGGATCCCTAGATCCAAGCCTCCAATATCTCTCATTTCTTCTTAAGGTAGAATTAACCCTAGGTCAAGTAGCAGAGGAAAATTTGCCATCTTTTTCTGGAATTTCTGAAAGCCCTCCTTTTCGGACCCTCTTTCCTTACACTCCCAAGTGCTGAAGTCTCCTATCAGTCTACTGCTCAAGATTGGCTGTTCCTTTACAGATGTTATGCTCTACTGATTGTCTTCCTCCACCCTCCCACACACGCCTTAGTTAGAGATCAGGAAGTGAGCTAATTAAGTGCAGCTCCTTTACCTCTCCAACTCTGGGTTTCTTCATCTGTAACAAAGAGATGCAGTGGCAGCCAGCTTATCCAACAGAGGACTGGTTCTGGAAATTAATTCTGTGAGGCAATGAGACAGAATAGTCAAGGAACAGTTGAGGAACCATTAAATAATTTAAACTGCATGGCTATGGCTGTATAAAGATTTAATCTAAGATATAACTGTTCGTGGAACATGTCTGCATTTTTTTTGAAAATCGATACCAGGAATATCATGTACTATACAAGATGGGGAAAAGTAGGCTTACAGTTGTTTGTGTAGGTGATAATATGGTATTTAATAAATAATAATACAAGAATAAACTGTGTTTCACATACAACTGTAAACCTACTTTTGTCCTACCTTATATATGTATTATCCCAATAACTCACTTTTTCCCCAGTGTTTAGGGACAAGAAAATTCATCTATGATGATGAAATAATAATAGCAATAATAATAACGATAACCAATACATATAACAATTTCTATGTATTCTCACTAAGCATTTTATATATCTAAGCCTTTAAAGATCTGTATGAGGTAGATAAAGTAGATATTACACCTCCCATTTTACTGATGGGAAAATGGAGGTACCTAAGAGGTTATATGACTCTTCTAAGGTCACGTTGTTTCTTAAAATTAATTGAAGTGTGCAGCAATTTCTTTGGTTGCTTTGAGTATCAGGAAACTTAGAGCTAATGGTGTTTGGTTTCTGTTTTTGTTTTTGTTTTGTATAGCAATGGTAGTTGATCAAAGAATTTTTAAATGTAATTATTGCCACTAGTATCCCCCTTAATGAATTGATTTTGATTTCTTTTAGTCTGACTTTTTGTCATTTTTTAAATTGTGTCACTATTTGCTGTTGGTAAATAGCTCATTTCTTTGGGAAAACAGACAGTCTATAAAAGTTTGATTAAATAAAACATTGACATATTACCCAGGACAAACTAATAATCTGTTAACACTCATTATTAAAATAGCAAAGGGTGTATTCATCAGCCACCTGGGACATGTATGCATGGAAAGAGATGATTAATATAGGAAAGGTCTGGATTGCAGAGTGAGTCCTACAGGGAACATGAAGACTTTGGGGCCTGGGTCTGGGAGGTAGAAGGGGTGACGGGGAGAAACGTGGTATCTTGTTACTCAAGACAAACCTTGCCTCTGGGTTTGGAGATGCTTTAACTTCTAGGCCGAAAGGTGCAATTGGCCTTCATGCCCCTTTTAGTAGTAAGCCTTGCGCTTTCTATTTGTTTGTGTCTCCAGGAATGGCGTTTTCTTCATTACATTTCAGCCTGCATTTTACTCATCTCTATGTTTAACCATACACACACACAGGGGAGTGTTTGTGATTACTTGAACACAAAACAAACAAACAAAAAGCCCAGTTTTGGGCTCTTCCTCCTTCTCCCCCTCTGCCTCTGTAAGAATGCATTCAAAACTTCCACATTGAAATGGTCCTGTAAATTTATTTAAGATATTTTTTATTGCCAGCTTTGGGGTAACCTTCCTTCTTTATATAAGAAAGGGAAATGTCTTTAAACATTTCATAGAGAAGTAGAGATTAAAGAAAACTCCATAAATACACACTTGAATGCTTTTAAAATAGTGACTGATTGATTGAGACAAACAGTATTTCTTATCAGGAATGGAACAGCAATTTGATTTATTTTACAAAACTTCATTTTTAAAAGCCAGATATGGACTTCAGTATGAGAATTTTTTTCACTTCCTCTGAGTGATGGAACAGCTGTAATGCTACCACTTTACTCTGAACGGCAAATTCAGAGAAGTCAGGGAAACTACAGGATACTCAGCTTTGATAGAAGATGATTGGTCATGCAATCAGCAGAGGCATTCATTCTGTCTCTGTCTTTGGAAGAGACCATTGACCAATTTTGATAACCTAGTTTGTAGATTACAGTAACTGCTATTTCTCGAGAATTATGTTTGAACTCTATGTGTTCACAGTATAGGAACACCTATTTAGAAAAGTGAAACTCCCGTTGCTTTGGAAGCAGGATTTGACATCCATCAAGGTGGTGTAATGAACCCTGGTTGATTTATGAAGTCATTCATTACTTTACCTACCCTTTGATCAAAAAGCGCTGTACATATTTTTCCAGATCACTTGAAAACAGAGAGCCTACAATGCCATTGAGCAATGACATTCATTATCATAAATTGATTGTATTTTAGCATTGCTTTAGAAATATGAAGATGTTTGTGTACCATTTTTCCTTTACAGCATAGCTCAAAATCCATCTTCTCAACAGTGCATTAAATGTCAGTATCAATATCCACAGACTCAGAATGCAAAGTAGAAAAACACAACATATGTGAGCAGGACTGGGGAATGAGTGTGAAGATAACCACAAGCACTTTTTAAGTAACAGGTTACTAAGTGAGATTTGTAGTACAGAGATATTAATTTTATTAACAAAATTACTTCAACAAAAATGTACATTCCTCTAGAAAATTCTGGACACAGGGTAGCATTCATATTTTTAGATAAACTCCCCAGGTGATTCTTATGCCCACCAAATTTTGAATACCACTGTTCCAGAATATAATAGTTCATACTCTGTGTTAGCAATTACTCTAGCACCTGTGTGGATGCAACTAACATGTCAGTTACACTTTTTGCTTGTTTTTGAATAAACAATAGGAACTGGTCCTGAAGTGTGGAATGGCTTATCAGAAAGTTCCTTTCAAACTGTTTTGAAAGTTTTCCATGGAGAAAACCTAAGATTGGCTGGGAAGATACGAGGTCCAGGAAGCCTCATTGGTCTAGGCCTATTCTCTTGAGTCCCTGGCCCTTCATAGGCACAGAATAAATATTTGTTAATTGACTATAAAAATACTTAAAGAGGAGGCCACCAACTGATGTTTCTTTTCACATCCACGTTCCCCCCCCCTCCCTCTTTCTCCTTTCCCTCCCTCCCTCCCTCCTTTCCTCCCTTTCTCTTTCTCTAAAATCAATCAAAATAATCCTTTGGTGAGGATTTAAAAAATACTCGGGGAAAGCAATAAATTTTGACAGAAAAACTTTTTGTAGACAGAACTGTAATGTGAAAAATATAAACTAAAAATTGCTTTTCCAGTACTATATGGACAAACAGGAAAAGAAAACTTTCATTTTGATAACCTCCCATGACTTTATTTAACACCATTATTTAATAAGCAGTGTTTTAGCAGGATTTTAAAATTTCTTTCTTACAAGTAATAGGTAAGAGAAAATTATCAACAAAGATGATAATAAAGTATGGATTCTTTTGAATGAGAGGAAAGGAAACAATGCATAAACCCTTTTACATTATTAATTTCTGTTTTTTACTGTACGGCATGGTTAGTTTACAAGGATACCCATGTGTGTGTATGGATATGTATTTCATATGGATCCATATCTCACTCTTTATAAACATTATTAATCAGAAAAAAATTAAATATATTCAGCAGTTACATCAAAAGTTAATATTATTGCTGAGGACACCTTATTTCTGTATTCAGTGATAATACTTTAGCTCTAAAGTGTGTAACCCTCGGTCTCTTTCACATCCCATGAACTTTCAGCTCTTCCACCCAGTGTATTTTTGGTGACCGACCAATGAATGGTGGAAAATAGGAGGTGGTATGTCAGCTTTTTGTAACCAGAGTGGAAGGTGTGGGATGTGTGTTTGTGTGTTCCTTTCTCTTTGAAGCACGTTGCCTCTGGAAGCCCTTCGCAGATGCTCCGTCCGCCTGTTGTGCAGGACAGTGGGCCACGCGTAGCCTCCTTTCCTTGATCTTTACTTCAACAGACTGTATAGCAAATGGAAAGGTTGGTTTTATTTCAACCAGGAGTGCAGTTGCATATGGTTAATTAGTAGTTGAGTTGATAGTTATAATAGGTGTTTTTTCTTTGGTGGGGTTATTATTTTATCTCAGTATGTCCAGTGAATTACCAGATTTTTTTTCTACTTACATATTTCTTTCACAGCAGCACACATACACAAGCATTTAAGCTTGTTTTTCTTAAACATCAGATTAGGCGATTCAGATGTGTTGATATTTGGAGTCAGAATATACTAGTCTGTGTCTAGCCTAGCCACTTAATCACATGGCTTCCCTTTTTAAGCAGTAGTTTCAATAGTTTTAAATAGTTTTATTTCAGAGATTGGTATTGTGGCCCACAGTCCTACCATCCACTACCTGCTTTTGTAAATAAAGGTTTTTTTAATTTTAATTGTTGTTTAAGTAAAGTTTTCTGCCTTTTACCCCCATCCCAGCTCACCCCTACAAGCCTCAGCCACCTCCCTCCCGTTTAAATAAAGTTTTATTGGAATATCGCCCCTCTCATTGGTTTATGTTCATGTGTATAGTTTGCACTACAACAATAGAATTGAGTAGTTGTGGCAGAAACTGTCTGGCCCTTCACAGGAAAAGTTTTCTGACCTCGAGGGTTTATAAATAATGTATCTTGTTTGGAGCCCTTGGCTCCTGATTTTTAAAACACACAAAATTCTAGTGAGCTTTTTTTGTTTGGGGGTACTTTATGTTCTGTACATAGCAAGAATGTCACCTACATTTTTCAGGAAATAATTGTTAAATACTCACTTAGAAATCCATGGTCATTTTGCATTAAGCAGAGGCCATATGTGAAATTTATACAAAATATATTTTTATCTTGTGACATTTAAAAGATTACCTCTCTATGGGCAACGAAGATTACAAATTAGACTGAATTGAGATGTAGCAATTTTACTGTATTAATGATGTGTCTTTAGTTGTCTCCGAGACAGAAGTTTTACTAAAAGAACTAGAGCAAATGCTCCAGCAAGCTCTGGAATCCACCCCCCCAGCAGATGAGACCGAGAAGGAACATGGAGAGCCAGTGAATACAGGAGGAAAGGTAATACTGATAGTTATAAATAGCAACTTCAGGTCTTTAAATGGCAGAGATTGTTCCTGGATGTACGTTTTCAGTACATGGAAAACTTTTTTCACTTCTCAAATATGAGCTTTTGATTATCCTGAGCTGAATAATAAACTAGCAGCCTGTGGAGAAATCAGAACACATCTATCAGTCTTTGAACAAGTATCCGTGTTTCGGCAGCGGGGCTCCTTTGTTTTAGATCTCTGAGGTTGGAATGAAGAAAGGTGGAAGGGGCTTGCTGCCCCCAGAGGCCTCCTCCCTGCTGCCAGTCTCTGCAGTCAGGAGAGGGGGCGGCCGGGGTGAGAGCCGCTCTCGGGGAAGTCTGCCCTACTGCATGCACAGGGATAGCTTGTGTAAGGACAGACTCCATTAATACAGTGCTGGAGGTAGACTCTTCCTGTAATACATTTTACCACTCATATCTAGATTTGTCCTCTTTTTCCTGTTCGCCAGTCATGTTAGCCTGAGAGAGGCTACAGGTGCTTCACTTCATTCACTGCGTATACGACAACATACATTTAAACTGGTCGACAAACTGCTCTGTGCATGACCTCCATGTATCTGCAAATAAAATGAGGGTACACACCTAGGTCAGTAAAACAGAGCAGCAGTGTGGTAGGTGTGAAGAAAGTAAGTCATAAGCAGTCACCTCCATAGGCAGGGCAGCGGGTCCCTGAGTGGGTAGGAGGAAGAACGGCAGCGAGGAGCCCAGTGTCCTCATGGTTCCACCCAGTGTCCCACTCAGTCATAGACACACAGTGCGTCTGGAGTTGCGAGAGTGCAGTGGTGAGGAGCAGTGGAGGAGGACTTGTGTGACCTGGCACAGTTGCTCATCACTTGCCTTAGAGGATTATTTTGAGGGTTAAATAAGACAAACCAGGAACAGTACTTTGCACAGTAAGTGACACCTAAGGTTAGCTATTATTACAGATGAGAATTGGCAATGGCAGTCACTAGAGAGAATAAGTGCAAAGATTTTCTTACTTTATCTCTTTTTCCATGTTCCCACTTTGAGCAACTACCCATCCCCCTTTCTATCCCCCAAAAAACAGAAGACGGTGTATTTGTAAATGGACAAGGTTGTTTGCACACATTGGCAGGTTGCCCAATTACATGGCCTTATTCAGAACTTCAATAAGAACAAAGAAGACCTTAAATACCTCCTTTATGGAGTTAGAACGCAAGAGTATGTACAGAATTCACAGTAGAGGGGATCAATGTGTTAAAAGTAAATAAAATTAATGTTGAAAACTCTTACTGCCTTGAAAAATATGATCGTTTTCTTAATCAGCACCAGGACACCAACTTGTACCTGAATGGCATGGGTTGAAAATGCCATTTTTCCATTTAGAGTTCCTTTTTTTAAAAAAACAACTTGGTTTTTATATCTCACCTTTTATAGAACAAGATCTATAGGTTTGTGACATATGTATATATAATTACTATACAATTTTTACTTTTCTAGCAAATGTGTGTTTTGTTCGAGCACCATATGGTTTTGTGCAATGTTTTTTCAGCCTCCGCAGTTTGTCTTTTCAAAAATACAGCCAGGCTGGTTTTTACCGAGATGTCCTGGAGCTTTTGCCGTCACAGAATTGGCTTCTATTTTGCCATTATAACTAATAACTTGATAAAATAGAAAGTGACTTCTGATTTTTATTTCTTAAGGTAAAATACATAGTTTTAATACATCACCAGGCAAGTGCTTGCTTTTTGTTTTAGATTCTTGTTATATTATATGCTTTCAAAAGGCATTTAGCAATTGTAAAAATTAACCATTTTAACTTTCTGGCAGGCAGGTGAGTGCCTCCTGCTGACTGGTTTATAAGCCACTCTCCACACTGAGCTTTATTAAGTCTGGCATTCACACAGGCTCAGGGTATTTAGGGCCTTGTTCATTTTTAAATGAGGAGAATAGCAGTGAAACTAACTATCAAAGGTGCAGCAATTTCCAGTTTAAAAGTAATGCAGTGATCAAGTGATCATCACTTCATGCATTTCTTTTCCTTCTTTCTTCTTTCTTTTTTTTGTTAGTAGGAAAAATTAATATAGCTTCCAAAAGTAACTTCACTTAAAATAGGAGCTATGTTTTGTTTTTAGGAAAAAGTGGCCTGTTAGCAAGCTAACACACCAAAAAGAACCACCTATAAAGTTATAAAGTTCTGAGCAGATATTGTTTGAGCTATTTTCATAGTTGTAAATTTGATGATGTTTTCATCATTCAGTTCACATACGAATTTTCAAGTTGATTTCTCTCAAGCGTTTTACTAATGGATGAGAGTAGCAACATGAAAATAAAGCATACACATGGATAATCAAAATTCATTTCTATTTGTCACTAAAGTACTTTACAACTCCCCTTACTAATTACGTTCTTCTTTTGCTAATATTAACATTGACTCACATACCCTGACTTGGCAAGCAACGGGAAGGAATTTCAGGTTTTTATAAAATCCACCTGAATAATTCACAAGTCAGATAATCCATTTACAAATAAAATAGCTTACTTAATAATTACTTGTACTACATCATAGTTTGATACATGAAAATACTTACATAATCTACAAAATATGTAGATATTTTAAAAAATATCATGGGAAGTTAACGCTAAGGAATTGTGAAGTTGTAAGTCTCCTGTGTGCACACACATGTGTGCACTCTTCACACCGGTCCTGCCTCAGCTGGAGGACATCACCACCGTTTGTGAGGGATGCACACGCCTATGACCCAGAAAACGTGGCTGAGACAGTTTTAAGTTGTATTCCTTATAGCAGTAATTTTAAGAATAAATAAATACAGAAAAGTCAGAGATTAAAATGATCATATTTTTCCAAAGCATACAATTAAAAATGTGAAGCTTTGGGGAACAGACAAGACCTAAATAAGTCCTTTTTATACTAGCACGTGTACTATACATTATGCTATACATGGAGATCATTATTTGACCATCACTACAACAGAAAACGTTGTGTAGCTGCTGTGGTTTGAGGAGTTGCCAACTACTTTATATTTCATTTAAATAATTAAGCCCCGTCTTCAGGTCAATTTGACGTGGTCCTGATGAACTGTGTGGTTGTTTTCGCAGCTATCTCAGGGGCACCCTGAAGCTTCTGCAAGCGGTCCATCTGAAAACCACTGTGAAGAGGACTATGTTGTCATTGATGGAATAAAGTTAAAAGCTGGGGAATGTATTGAAAATATAACTAACAAGTTTAAAGAAATAGATGCTTTGATGTCTGAATTTTAGGGCATTATAGATATTTTCAAAAGTTAAAAACAAAGTAAAAAACTTAAAATGTTTAATGAAATAGGTATATATGAGTATTATACCAAAGATGATTTGGTAGTAACTTTCTTCTTTACATTTTGAGACTATACATTATTTTGAGATCCAATCAAATGATACTTAAGTGTTAAAAACTTAGAATTTAAGAAACCCTGACATTCGTAGATTTTTTCATTTGCCCTAATTTTAAAACAATTTATGAAATTTACTGTACAAATACATGCTTTACAATGATTATTTAATCCCTTTATTCAAATGTCGCTGTTAAAATAACTAAGACATCTATTAGAATTCTTACAGATACTTCAAATCTAATATGTTTAGAGAATGTGTATTTGTAGTGGAATTAAGCTACTATAAAATAAAAGAAAATATAAAAATGCTTGTATAGTAGAGTTATAGCTTTTTTAAAAAGTAAAAATGTCAGTTGCCTCACTATATTGGAAATTATTATTTCAAGTACAGTGCCCAAACCTGACTGTCTATCAATCTGTTGGGGGTTTTGAAAAGATCCGAATCCTGGACCCTTTGCCACTGAATCAGTATCTCTGGAGGTGGGGATGATCAAACGTATTGATACTTAAAAGTATAGACAGGTAAGTTAAACATATTCACTGTAAAACAAATCTAAACCATGTAGAAAAGTAAGAAGTACATCATGCAATACCACCCTCTTCACATCTCCCCTAAAACCCCCGTTTTTAGGGATTGCCTCCGTGGCCATTCGTCTACATCGTGTTCCATACACATCACCATTTGTGTATGTGCACACCCATCTCCAGTTCCAGCTCCGGCTCCCCTCCTTCCTGTCTGTCTCTTCCTGTGGGTTAATAGTGGAGAAAAGGGCATTCCAGGCACCTAAAACCAAAGCTTGCAGAGAGCAGAAAAAGCAAGAGAGCACCCAGGACCGGTTGTTAGGTAAATTACCTGGAGTGATGTGTGGTGGTGAGAAGGTAAGCTCAACAGGTGAGAGGGCTGTGGAGTCTGTACCTGTGGGGACCAAGGGAAGGGTTTTAGATACCGGAATTCCTTTTGTAGTTCAGAGAGCGCTCATGGGCAGCAGGTGGAGAATGGACGGAGAGGCAGTCACCTTGGAGTAAGGGGACCCGTTAGGAGACGACTTTGGGAATTCAGCATGAGATTATGAGAGCCTAAAGTATGGTGGTGCTGTGATGGAGAAAATTGGATACGGTCGAGCTAAATAAATATCAATAAATTATCGGGATTTAGAGATTGGCTATCGGGATGAGACAGTGGGGGGAGTTAAGAATGATTCCAGGTTTCTCCTATTCACATACATGCAGATTAGAAACATGGGCCAAACTGTGGGACTTCAGCAGAAATTCTAAGGTCTCCGTGCTTTGACAAAGCCTGCATTTCAATACCACTCCACAACAAGAGTGACTAGAACAGTCTCTCAACATGTCACATTTAAATTGTATGTGGTATAAAACAACAAAGATTAAGGCTTCCTTTTTTCTTCGAGCTGAATTTACTCCATAGCATTTTAGAAAAATTCTTCCTGTTTTTCTTGGCAGTAAGGTTTTATATTCACAGCTCAATTAATTATCGCATTTTATTTTTACTGCTTAGAATTAACTATAAAAATGGCTGTAATAGTATTTGAAAGACTTTACAAACAATTCAGCTGTTTGATATAGACCCCAATCTGGTACATTAGATCAATTAGATCCCTTGCAACTAATTCCTCTTGGTAGAACAGCCAGTGCTCATCAGAGTCAGATTTCACAAATAAGATACTGAAACTTCCAGACTGAATTCATCCCTGCCATTTTCTGAGTTATAGTAGTCTGAAATTTCCACTGAAGACTTTGTGTACTTGAACAGCTCAAATGGCTTCTGAAAACAAAATTTTGGATTGGTTCTATCTTCAAAGAAAACTGTAGACTCCTTCTAAGAAGAAATCCAGGCTTTCAAATTTCCAAATAGAATGTGCCTAGTGAAGGGGATGAAGGAGCAGTTCATTAACACCTCAGTCCTCAGGGCTGAGAATCCTGCCTGGCTGTACATCCTCCCTGCTGATAAATACTGAGTGTTGCAAGGCAGACTGTGTAACAGAGATGGCACAGTAGTGGGACTGCGGAAGCAGGATGCCTGCCTTCAGGTCTTGGTACTGCTGCCTAGGATCTGGGAGACCTGAGGCAAGTTATTGAACTTCTCTGAGCCCGGGTCTTCTTTTTTTTCCCTTTTTCCCCCATCTAAAAAGGGGAAGATGCAGAAGACAGTGCAGGTTAGGACTGTGATTGTGAGCTCAGCATTTCTCTCCTGACTGCCTCTGCCATGCCTCTTCTATGCCTATTGAACTAACACGCTCCTTTCCACAGGACCTGGGTGACACCCATGCTTCTGAGGGGCTGGGACCAAGGACTGTGTGCCATTAGCTGACTCCTAGGCTGGGCCTAGAGGTGGCCAATGCCTTGTACTTTATAGCTAGAACCTCTTGCTAGACCCAAGGAGAACGTTATAAGGAACTGCATCTGCCCACCAAGGGAGGTTAAATTCTAAGAACATTAGTTATACCACGTTTAGTATGTGAGGCATAAGGCCATGTCTCAGGGTCTTCTGCCTGGACACTTGGGTTTGAGGAGTGGCTGACTGATCCTCTTTCGAATGAGGTTAGGTCAAACCTGTCTGTCTACAGTGGCATGAATTTATTAAAGGTGTGGAACTGTCAGAAGCTGTGTTCCTAGTTAAATCTGTAGACTCTGGAGAGCTGAGCTCCAAATCCAGCTGTTACCTTATATTCCAGAAGTCTTGGTCCATTTGCCCCGTGCTAGAAGCTGAATTTATACAGAAATTTTCAGTGTTAAGAGGCTTAGCTGTATCTTTATTGGAGGCAGGCTGTGTTTTTTTGAAAGGTTAGTGTTTTGTTGCCACCAGTGGAATGAAGTAGAATGATGCACCTGTGTACTTGGAAAAGACTGTAGTGTATACAGCCTTGAACTTGCTGGTTCTGCAGTAGAGGGTGACAGTTTTAATGTATTCACTAGTAGACCTAGGAACTACCATAAACTTTGTAAATCAGTCTGGAACTTTTGTAGGAAAAATGGGTGGCTAGCCCTTTCTTGAGGAACATTTCTTTGATGAACCTCAGGGGACCTGTGTATTGCTGTTGATGGAGCAAACCATTCTACCTACCATTGAATACCTCCACCAAATTGCTGGTAGTCCATGACTCCTCCATCTGTTGGGGCTAACAAATGGTAGAGATCTATTCCAGATACTTCCAGCGCAGTTGAATTTGAAAACCCTAGCAATATCCAGATCCTGCTCCATCATGTCAATGGTCTCTATGAGGTTCCAAGAGCAGATCTAGCTAGACACAACACAATTAAGGAATTCTAAGTACTTCTTTATGGCTGAGCCCACTCTTGATGCATTTCAATAATGTTCTAGATTCAGTAGAGTTCACTTCCCAAGAAATTTTTTAAAATGTAGATTATGTAAGTATTTTCATATGTCAGAATATACTGGTTAGTCCAGAGGAACTTGGCCTTGAGGTCCAGGTGACACACTCTATGTCTGCAAGTCTAAATGTTAGTGTTTTTACACACATAGATTTGTTGTGTAAGTACTCAATGCAGTCAGCAACATAATCAGATAAAAGGGCAGAGGAGAGTGGAGATGGTTTCCAAGGAAAACATTGCAAGAATATGTCATTTGCTTCTAGAAGGTACTACAAAAAAGAGATGCTTAGAAAAATCCAAAACAAAAACAGAAACTGCCCCTCCACCAAAAATAAAAAACAAAAACAAACAAAAAAAACAGTTTGTAAGCAGTCTGGAAGTTGTTGGGTTAGAAAATAAAACTTTTTTATATTTAGGCCCTCCACCCAGAAAAAACATTGTCATATGAAGATATAGCCTGGGGGGAAAAAAGATCAAGTCCAAGGCGTTGATGTTGAATTATAGCAGGAGAGACAGAGACCGAATCCAGGTGGCTTTTAGGAAAACATGGCCTAATGGTGAAGACCTAATGTGGAGTTTGACTCTAACACTGCAGAATATTACAAAGCGACTTAGTAGGTCTTTCAGCTGAACAAAACCTCCTGTAAAGCATAAAGGCATGGCACCGTAGCCACCTGATATGAAAAAACTGATTTTGATGCATGGAATGAACTAGTATAGAAAACTAGTGTGAACTACATAGAAAAGCCTCTAAGTTGTAGAGAAAGTGATATTGCCAATGTTCTACCAGCCTGAACTAAAAGAGACTGAAACTCTTTGAAAGGAAAACAAGATCTCTGAGACCCTAATTTTGTAGAAGTAGAAGACAGCCAGTGAAAACTTAGCCACACACACACACACACACACACACACACACACAAGGTATAAATTTCATTTTCCTTTTCAGAAACAAATAATGAGGATGATGGGAAAGGATTTCACAGAGGACAGAGCCAGGAACCATAGGAACAATGAACTGGGGAATCTTTCTCATCCCCCACCCCCACTCAGCCCTCCTGCTGCTGGGAACAGAACTAAGGTCTAATCAAGAAACAATTTTTTGCTCCTAGGGCAGGGATTTTGGCTGATTGCTCTAGAGGAATTTCGGAATTGCTAAGGATTGTTTCATCTCTTTGAATGGGGGTTATTGTGATTATCCTGTCCCTCTGTTACACTGTCACATATTGTATGGGTGTCAGGACAGGCTGGGCCAATAATTTGTCTTTTTAGTTCATAGATCTAATTCACATCTGAGCCAGATGTAGATGGAGTCCTAAGTGCGTCTGCTACCACAGTTGGGTGAGACTTCTGGGTGTCTTTTGTTGGGAATTTAGACGATTTCCAACTGGAGGGATGTGAAAATGTGGCCAAGGATATAGACAGTAGTTGATTGAATTATTGACCTAAGTTTTTGTATGTTTTGCACTGCATCATTATCATGGCCCTATTAAGGGCAGGATGTACTTCCCTGTCTTGTGACTTTGGGTGTGGCTTTAAGAGACTTTGAGTGCTTTCTTCTTTTATTCTTGTGCTCCTGCCATCGCCTTGAGAAGAACATGCCCCAGGAAGCCTTCTGGTTCAGGGAGGATGAAAGACCGTGGAGAAGACCCAGACCCATAGGTTTGCAGAATGAAGCAGAGATGCTCAAGTGATCTGTAGATCCATAAATGTCTTTAGCCACTGAGTTTTGAAGTGGGTTGTTACACAATACTATTGTAGCAGTAGTTAATGGGTACACTTGGCTTCTGGGTTCCCGCAGCAATTTCATAGACCAGTTGTGGTAGCAGGTTTTCTGCTGTGCCTGGCCCATGGGATA